GCGGTTCATTTTGACATTCCGGGCAGAGATGGAGATTCAGGAAACGATTGATTGTGATTTATAGCGATGGTAGCTCATATAATTGAGCAACTTGTCTTAATAATATTTGGATTTCTTTTGTTTGTAGTTGTTAGAAATAGTGAAGGTTGAAAATGTCTGTCTGTATGGAATGTCTGATAAATTAGAAGGCTCTCCGAGATCCCTGTACTCTTTTCCGACTGTTAACGCGGTGGTCGGAAAGGTGGTGAAAGTATTAAAAAATAATATAAATTATATTTTAATATTTTATTTAATTTTTTAATTTTTTAAAATGAAATAGTTCTTCAATGTAATAGTAGTTTTAATAATTAAATAATTATAAATTTTAATTTCAACATCTTTATTTATTTGATTAAAATTAAATATAAAATAATATAAAAATATGTAAATTTTAAATTCAAAATAGTTCAAAAATATATTAAAAATAATACAAATTATATTTTAAAATTTCATCAAAAAAATTATTTCACATGAAAATAGTAGCGCGTTGAAATTCCTGGGTGAGCAGGGAAACGTGTTTGCAGCCATTGGACAAATCTAAAATCGTAGAGTGTATCTCTGGGCCTGGTTGGAGGTTTTTTCTTACAGGAAAACGTACAGGCGATTACAGGAAAACATCTAAAATCCGATCTTTTCACTGTTTTATGCGAAAATTGTACAGGCGAACCTGGATGAAGTATAACGATGAATCCTTTCTCCAGTTTATGCTTGTTTGTACAGTGACTTGATTTGTTCATTGTTAAGTTTATAAGCATAAGCATTTTGAATTGAACCGTGAACACTACCAAATACAATTGGAAATAATGATAGAAATTTTTGTTTTGGTAGATTGCAGTGAATTTTTCTATTTGAATATACTCTTATTGTTTTTATTGATAAATATTACTAAAAATATTTTTTTGATATATATTGAAAGAATTATAGTAAAAAAATAATAAATAAAAAAAACTAAAAAATATAATGACATATTATTTTTATAAAATTAAAATATTTAAATTTATCAATAAATCAATTCGTAATATTTAATTCATGATCTAACAAGTAATTCTCTTTTTTTCTCTCAATTCTTCTTATTCCTATATTTTTCTTTGCAACAAATAATACACTCTCTCGTTTCATTATAAAGTAATTTTAAATTATAAATTTAACTATCTTAACATTTAGTTTTTCAGTATTTTTATTTTTATTTAAATTTTATTGAGAATATTTCACTTTAAATTATCAAAATTAATAAACTTTTTTTCAATAATAAAGCTTTAAAATATTTTAATTTTTAATGGAATCGATAAACTTTAAGTTTACTATATATAGATGGATTCAAGAATTGAATGAAAATATATAATCACCTTAAAAAAAAAAAAAAAGTTAAAATGAACTGCAAAAATGTATTCCAATCTTCTATTATATATGAATTGCATCAGTTCTTGTATATTAGAAGTTCTCGTAGAATTTCCTCTTCACAAGCCGTCGTGCCTTACTTCTCCATGGCAGCATCCTCCTCCTTTCATGTCTTTAATTTCTCCTACGTATATGACCTTATGATTTTTATATAACAACTCAGCTTGGGAGGGAGCAGCTTTCTTGTGAAAATCTTGCCCTATCTCAAAATACCATCGCAGCATGGATGTTGAGATGCTTGAACTCCAATCCTTGACGTTGCCATTATGAGACATAATGAAGTTGCAGAGATTTTATACAGGTTTCTCTTCTTCTCCTCTGCAAATTGGGAAGCAGCCACTGGCACGGCCATCGATGGCGTTCTGTACAGCTCACCTCTGTTAAGGCGGTTCGGGCTCACATTCTTAGCCCTTTATGGTTCGGAAATCCAATCTTGAACCACCAGTAACTCTAGATGGATACAAAGGAAAATGTGGGCTACGTTTGGGCCAAAATGGCCCATTGGGCTTGTTAACCACGAAATCTAGTCTTACATTACTTTTTTTAAGGGGATGATTAATTACTTCTTTCTTCTCTCCATCTAGGAATCAATAAAGTAAATATCCGAAGTATTTTTTATTTTGTGGAACCTGATTTATTTAGAATAATTAACCCAATAATGATATTAATTTTTTTGGCGAATTTAACTTGGGTTGTCCCAAGGGTGAAAACATAGGAATTTTAATAAACTTTTGAAATATTATTAAGCACAAAAGCTGTCCAGGTTTCAAAATGATGCCCTTGACAGTAATACTATAGAAGAGAAATATATATATAAAATTATAAAAATGAGAAGTTTTAGGTAATGATTATTACTGTAATATCATTATTTTTCAAAGTGTTTTTTATTGTAAATATATTAAAATAATATGTAATTTTTTTTAAAAAAATATTTTTAATATCAATATGTCAAAATGATTCAATATTATAAAAAATTAATTTAAAACAAAAAACTTAAAAATTTTTTAAAAAAATTAAAAAAACACACAAAAACAAAAGCATTCCTAATATTTGACTAGGAGATATAAATCTCATGGAGATAAGGAATTCCTGCACGTTTTCCTTTTCATCTATTTTGAGAAAAAGGTGTGCCTATGCTTCAGCAAGGAAGAGGGAAGCATTAAAAAAACGTGCTAAGCCTATCAAATTCAATGAATGGATGCATATAGCCAGCAAGGTCTGTCTTCATTTCCCTATCATGCTGTTAGCATTGTGCCTGGTTTTGGAAGCAATGAACGAGGCTGTGCTTATGGTTATATAAAAAAAAAAGAAAAAGAAAAAGGTGACGCTACTAAACCAGAAAAAGAGAGGATGTATTTGCAATAACTTCATTTCCGATATGAGATCTATGGCTTGATTTACATGCTCACCGTATACTTACTAAGTCTGATCACGGAATTAAATTGGATTACGTACAGTTAATCAAATCAATTAAAAAAATTAAAATGATATTATTTTAATTTTTTTAAAAAATAAATAAGTTTTAATTAGATAAATAAATTTGAAACTGATTAGTTAATATTGATTAATTGTAAACTGATTTTTTTAACACTTAATTTGGAATACAAATCAAGAGAATTAAATCTTAATTTCATCTTAAACACCAGTTTAATGAAAATAATTTAGTGTATATTTAGGGTATATTAATAATTGTTTTTGGAAATGATTTTTATTTAAAAATATATTAAAATAATATTTTTTTATTTTTAAAATTTATTTTTAATATTAATATGACAAAAAATATAAAATATTTATAAAATACAATGCTGGACCCACCCTTCAAATCAAGCCTTGCACAGTTCGGTGGCAGTGCTGTCCACACATAAAGAGAGTATTTCACAGAATTCGATGAATTTTTGGGTACAGACGGTGACTATTAAAATGATTTGGTCCAAGGTCGGTCCACGAACCGCTGAAGTTTTTGTTTCCACCTTTTCTACTCGGTTCGAGAAGGAGCCCTTTTCGAAGATTGATGTTTTCGACACAGTCATCATAAGATAGGATTTGAGAGCCCTTCGTTGAAGAAATCCAATGCCCACGAAAATCATATATATATATATATATATATATGCTCACAATAAAAGTTAATTTTGTTGGGAATTACAATGATTCGAGGAATTTGGAATTCAGTTGGGAATCCCAACAATTCAAGGAATCTAAAATTAAATATAGATTCATTCGTGAGATGAAATAATTTTGTTGCTTTTTTTTTTAAAAGAGTTGAAAAGAGTAATGGAATTTATTACAATCTTCTCGTAATCTATGCATCTGTATACGAGCCTTAAATTGATTTGAGTGTTTTTTACTTTTTAAATTCATTCAAGTTTAATTTTGATTATTAAATTTTTATAATTTGTTTGGAAATATAGTCAAAATTATATTTTTAAAATTAAAAAAATTATTTTTTGTTGTTAAATTTTTTTATATATTTTTAAATTATTTTAACGTGTTGATTTCAAAAATAATTTTACAAAAATAAAAAAATTATATTAATGTATTTCTATATAAAAAACATTTTAAATTCAATCATTATTATAATCTTCAATAGATACTTAATGAAGTGATATTAATGTCCAATAAGTACTAACATGTGTATATTGGTGAAACAAGAATAAAATAAATAGACAGGTGATTGTGAAAATAATTCGAGAATTAAGTTTAATTTCACCTAATAGAATTGAAATGTTCTTATGATAGATCCTTTGTGCATGCATAGCATAATCACGGTGGTAATTATAATTATTAAATCTGGTTTAATTTCACAACTAATATGAGAAATTTTAATCCGAAAGCATGATTAAAATCTGTTTTTTGATTAAATCAAATAAAATATTAATTAGATAAACTTATTCATTTTGATCAAATCTATTTAAACTCATTCAAACTTGACCAGATCAGTATATATATATATATATATATATATATATATAAACAAAACATTATTGCTTTAATAAAAAAAATCAACCTAAATTAAGGTAATAACTTGAAATCTGACCGGATAAATTTTTTCCGATCCATCTCATCATAGGCCCAGCAACTATAGCTGTGAGATATTCCTTGCTCTCCAAAAAGAGCATTTTTCACAATGCTTCATTTTTCTCGATTTGTACAGCGGGATTATTTTATTTTTTTGCCAGAAATTTTAGTCCTCAATTTCGAACCCGTCAAGATTATTGCACGTATATATCTTACTCTTCCAGTGTTCTTTGCTTGGAAAAGATTGCTTATTTGTGTTTTTTTTTTCATATTTATTAATTTTTTTTATTTTATTACAATATTTTTGTCTTCCTTCTAAGCAGTCAACAAATTGGAAAACTACAATCCATACCTACCTGCCAATCTATCTAAAAAAAATTGGAAAAATATAGTAGCAGGTTACAATTGTTCAAATTTCTGGTAATTCTGGTAATTCCCCAGCTCTTGTGAAGAGGTTGTGCCAAAAGTCCATGCCATCATACATATTTGAATTAGTGGCTTGGACTTGTTCATCATCAATCATCAGTGGAGAAAATGGAAATTGAAGTTGCGGCTCAGTGCTAATGGCAGAATAATCACTCATCATGCTTGAATTATCAGCAGACAGTACTTCTGACCAAAAACTCTCATCCATTTCAAGAAAATCATCCGACTCTGCAACCTTCGTGCACAAGTTTTTACTGGTATCAACTGTGGTCACCGAAGAGACATCACTTGAACATTGTTGTGGTGAAATTGGTCTATGTTCCTGGCTTTG